TTTTTTTTTTTTTTTTTTTTTTTTTTTTTTTTTTTTTTTTTTTTTTGCAAACGTCTATTATTTTGTAGAATGAAAAAAAACAGTATATGATGGGGAGATGAATGGAGGTAATTTTTCGATTCAGTGCACTTTAAAATATATAATTCAACAAAAATATTTCATGCTGCAGGATTTTTTTTTTAATCTGAATGTAAATTAGTCGCGCGGTTAAAAGAAATAAACATCTTCAAGATATTGAAGTCAAAATAATACAGACAAGATTTGAAAAGATTTTGAATATAGGAAGATTGTTTAAAATTTTTACAAATAAGTTCTCGCTTATAACAAATCTTTACCAAAAAAAAAAAAAAAAAAAAAACATACATAAACATACATTTTACATAAATGTCGACATGAAGCTTATATTATATAATCACTGTTTACTATATATGCACATACACACAAAAAAAAAAGATCTGATTAAAAGTCAAAAGTGAGATCACTTGTGAAGCATCTAAAGCACATATAGCAAAGAAAAATTATTTAACATTAATATTTTTGAAAACCAAAAGAAACAAAACCGGTAATCACTTCCATATCAAATTTCAAAAACAAATTTTATCAAACAATGATAATTAAACACAAACAAGAAGCTGACCTTTAACACATAATGTTCCCCGAGAATTTATAGTTTATGAACATGAATTTGATTAGCATGATTGGAACACAAGACATGAAGCTGAAACATGATCAATTCTACGTTCACAATTATTCGTTCCACGTATGCGATCAAAAGCCGTTTCAATTTGTTATAATAAAGAATATGGTAAATTATACAACAACTAGATACAGCATTCACACTAAAAACACTATTTACATTACATACTAAAAAAAAATCTTTATTCATATGCCCCTAGAGAGGATAAAACTTTGTAATAAAAAAGATACACTATCGGAAAGGCGAAATAGTACAAGAAGAAATTATTTCATTCAAACTTATTTCTTTCCACCGTTTCGCCACTATATCCTATTCATCAATGTTTTGAAGAGCTCCGAATAGTTTATTTTTGAGCTAGTCAGAAAGAATGGGAACAAATTCTTTCACTGTTCTATTATACTCTTTCAGAAACTTCCATTGAGAAGATTGCACCTCTAAGCAAACATTCTCGCAAAATGTTTTAAAGTGAAACACACTGGATCGAAAAGTCTTTAAATTGTCAACCACGTCTGCCTTAACTTTCCAATGAGAACATTTTGTATTTACTTTATCGATTGATTACTCATTTCCTGTATATGTATACTCTATGCATAAATACGCCTCAATTCTCCATTCAAAAAGATATAAATTAAAGAATTTATTACAAATTACTTAAATGAAAATAAATGAACGTTAAAATTTCAGCTCTCGTTTAATTAAAGAAGTTTAATCCGTGTACAGCGAAAAGTTCGAAATGATACAAACCCTAATGTTTCAAATTATACGATATTAATATAGTAACCGATACAGAAATTTTTAAAAGTCCTGAAAAAAAAATCGATTTGAAATTTAAAAAAAAAAAAAATTACAGCAAATTACTCTGGTACTATGAGAAAAAAAAGCCGTAAACAAAACTATTTTCAGATTCAAACATAGATTTTCATAAAATTGGTTTTTAATTACTGTAGTTCAATGATTAATGATTAACCATTTCACTACACACCGCATTTCTTTCCTTTTCCATAAAAATACAGCACAATAGAAGTAAAATCCTTTAATAAAGTAGCTATAAAATGATTTTCAGGAAAACTAACGGTTAAGAAAAATGGAATTCTGATTCCGAAGGCGGGGGGGGGGGGGGGATTCTAATTATAGGCATTTAATACATCAATGCTAATCTGCACAATGCTTCCAAAGTAACTTTTCAATGTAACACAATGCTTTAAAAGTAACTT